AAATGTATTTTTAAAAGTGTTTTCTACATTCAAAATCAAGCTAAATGTTTTGAGTTAGTTACCAGTCAGATGACACAGAAAATGAACTACAGCAGAAGAAAAGACTTGTATCTATCTCAGTAAAAACAATAGTATTCACCTTATCATTTAGAAGTGGTTTGATCTCTGTGAGTTGAACATCCTGAAGTTCATCCATGGGTACAGATGAGAGTAGAGCTGTCTCAAGAACAAATCAGGAACTCTGAAAGAGAAGAAAAAGGCTTAAGGCTAGGAGTTAGAAACAAATACTAGTCACACTACACCCATTCATTCAAATATCAGAACTTACCATGCACATATCATGCACTGCTCAGTGTGCTAAAAGACTCAAAGTGAAGGCAGGCAGACTCTACAGCAGCCTACCTGGTTCCTGCCTCCTCATATTCACACCCTTGCATAATCCCCCACCCCCGAATATGAATGGGACCTATGGCCTGCTTTTGACATGAGTACTTGCACAGTTATATGAGCTAATATTTTAACATCTGACTTCCAGAGAGATACTGTCCTAGCTCTGAAGAAGCAAGCTGACATATTATGAGAGGGCCACATGGCAGGGAAGTAAGGGCAGCCTCCTGCTGAAAGACAGAAAGAAACTGAGATCCTCACTCCACATCTGCAAGGAAGCTAATGCTGTCAACAACCACATTATCACAGCAGCAGATCCCTCTCAGTGCAGCCAAGATGAGAAGGAGGCCTTGAATGACACCACAACTGCAGCTTTGCAGAGGATCCAGACAACCTATCCTCAACTCCTGACCCATAGAAACTGTGAGATGATAAATATGGTTTTAGGCCATTAAGTGTGGTCATATTTTTATGAAACCACAGATAATTAACACTATAGTCTTTGCCCTCAAGGATTGTGTGTATTTTAGATACTGAAGATGCTTAGTAAGGAACACTTAGAACTATGTTTCTGGAATCAACAATTTGGAGATTAGATTAAGGGGGGTGTAAAAAACCGAAGAACGATGTAGGATAAGGGCTTGAATTAGGAATGGCAATAGAATTGAAGAGGGAAATGAACCAAGGCTAGCTCATGAACCTTTACTGGGGAAACACAGAAGTAAATGAATATGGTAGTCAGCCTCCAAGATGGCCTCCTACAAATCGTTGATTCCTGATATTCACACTAGTGTATAATCTCCCACCCAAATAAATCAGGGAGGCCTATGTAACAAATAGAATATGGTGAAAGGAACAGTATGTGATTTCCAAAGCTACATCACAAGGGCATTATAGTTTCTGCTTCTAGACTATAGTCTTGAATCATTACTTTTGAGGGGAACACGGCCACCATATTGTAACAACACTCAAACAGGCCTCTGGAAGTATACCAGGAGAGCGACCAACATGCCAGTACCAACCTGCTAGTCATGTGTGTGAACTACCTTGCAAACAGATCCTCCAGCCCCAGTCAAGAGTTCAGATGACTGCAATCCCAGAGACCCCTGAGTGCAACCTGAAGCCTGCTTCCAAATCCTGACCCACAGAAACCATGAGAGATAATTCTGTTTTGGAGTGACGTGTTACATAACAATAGGAAAACAATACAGAGAGGAAACAGATTGAGAAATTGAGAGAAGAGCGAAGTTGAAGGGAGTCAGGCAGGGTAATTAGCCAGAAACCCTTTCTCTATCCCACTGTACAGGAAGCCAAGGGGCAAGGCTGCAAACACTGGGTTTTACAGGCAAGTGATTACCACCCCGACTTAAAAGCTCCATGGTTTATCCCTTTTACCATGGTCCTATTTCCATCAAGTCAGGAAAAATGCTCATTCAATGATTTGGAAAATTGCCCATTCAACAACTATTTTATTTATTGGGGACCTGATAGTAGCAGTGAAAAACACTATGAAAGATCTGAAGGAGGGCCTTACCTTCCAGGATCTTACTAGAGTATGGGTTCTAGGACAATAATTCAAAAGATGATAAATAAAAACCGTAAGAGTTAAGAGGAAAAGCAATTATTTCTAACTGATGGGAACCAAGAAAACCTTTAAAAGATATGGTTTTTACAGTACAGTACTGTATTCGCCTAGCATGTGCAGACCCCTGGGTCTGACTCCCAGAGCCACATACACATACATACAAAGGTAGCCAGATGTAGTGGCTCATGCTTGTAAATCTAGCTACACAGGATGCTGAGACAGGAGGATTATGAATTCAAGGCCAGCTTAGGGAATTTAGCAAAACTCTGTCTCAAAATAATAAAAATAAAACCACTGTGGGGGCTGGGGATTTAGCTCAGTGGTTCTGCCGCCTGCCTCACAAGTGCAAGGTCCCGAATTCGATCCCTGGTACCAAAAAAAAAAAAATAAAACAAAACAAAACAAAAAAATCAGTGTGGTGGCACACACCTGTAATCTCAGCACTTGAGAGACGGAGGCAAAAGGATCACTGAGAGTTTGACACCAGCCTGGACTACATAGTGAGTTCAAGGCCAGCTTGAGCTACATAACAAGACCCTGTCTCAATAAATGAATAAATGAATGAATGAGTGACCAGGGATGTAGCTCAGTGCTAAGGTCCTGGGTTCAATCTCTAATATTAAATTTTTTTTAAAAAAAGATATTAGGCACAGGCACAAGGACTTGAGTTCGATCCCTGGTACCAAACAAACAAACAAAAAAGATATTAGAGGGGCCGGGGATTTAGCTCAGTGGTTCCACCACCTGCTTCGAAAGTCCAAGGTCCCAAGTTTGATTCCCGGTAACCCCCCCCCCCAAAAAAAGAAAAAGATATTAGTCTACTGCAGATGCTTGATTCATGATAGGGTAATACCCTGGTAAACCCATTGTAAATTGAAAATACATGTAAGTTGAAAATGCATTTAATATACCTAATCCACTCAATGGCATAGCTTAGCAATGCAATACACTGTAGAGTATCAGGTACTAAACTGCACCATTATATGGCTCACAAGAAGCTGTGGCCTGCTGCCTCAGCCCTACATGGCTAGAGAATACAATACTGTAGATTGCTAGTCCAGAAAAAGATCAAAATTAAAAAAAAAAAAATCAAAATTCAACTTGGGCATACAGTCCAGTGGTAAAGTACATGCCTAGCATGTGTGAGGCTATGGGTTCAATCCACAGCACTGAAAAAAAAAAAAAGAAAAAGAAAAAGCGTGACCTAACTAGAAGCTACTCTTTGTATTCCCTCACTTTATTTATTTAATTTTAGACAGTACTCAAGACTGAATCCAGGGCCTTTTCACAGAGCTTACTACCAGTCTTTTAAAATTTGTTTTGACACAGGATCTTGCTAAATTCCCCAGGCTGGGCTTGAATTTGCAATTGATCCTCTTGCCTCAGTCTCTCAATATGCTGAGATTACAGACATACACTACCACACCCATCATATTTTGTGCTTATTAATCACACAATAAACTGTGGCTGTTTTTCATTTGGACTTTACTATCATCAGGGGTTTTATGGGGGGGGGGCTAGACAAGGTCTCACTAGGTAGCCTAGGTTAGCTATGAACTCTTGATCCTCCTGTCTTACCTTCCCAAGGGCTCTATATTTGCCTCTGCTAAAACTAAGGACTGGGATGGAAGGATTACTTTTCACTTTCATACGTTCTGAGCTTCGTAAGCATATATTCTTTTGTTTGATTTTTTAGGACAGTGTCTCACTAGGTAGCCTAGACTGGCTGCGAACTCATGATCCACCCGCTTCAGCCCCCCAAGTGCTAGGATTACAGGCATGCACTACCACACTCAGCTTATTAATCAGTTATTTGAAGTGGCAATTTTAAAGATTTTTAATCCCAGGCCGGGGATTTAGCTCAGTGGCACCGAGCCTGTCTTGCAAGCACAAGGTCCTGAGTTCGATCCCCGGCACCAAAAAAATTTTTTAATCCCTACTATAAAAGCAACATATACTCACTTTAGAAAATGTAGAGATCATGGAATAATGAAAAGGTGTTTAGTTTGTCTATCTAAAGATAACCATTTTAGTCTATTTCCATTTGTTCTTTTTTTCCATGTAAAATGGTGATTCCCTGAAAGTGTTTCCAACCCACCTGCTTTATTCTCACTTTAATTCACTGATGGAAAAGCAGGACACTACAGGATATTAATTATTCAAATGTAACTCCTTTGTGGGTGGGCCTGTCAAGGAGCCTTGAGGCCTGAGGAAAGTCTAAGGTCCAAAGTGACAGGCATTTGCATAGTATTCCCCAATTTTTTTTTTTTTTGGGGTACTGGGGATAGAACTTGGGACCTTGTGCTTTTGAGGCAGGCAGTGGAACTATGCCCGGCCCCTATTCCCCAATTTTTTAAAGATGAAGAAAAGTGCAAAATTTGTGCCAGCAAGCACTTAAAAGCACAAATTAAACGAGAAAGCTGTCCCTATCAGCTGGGCTCAATGCAGACTAAGGTAAAAAGGGTGGTGAGAACAGTAAGCTGCTCCAAGATGACTTAGGAATTGAAAACAAGACACCAGTAGATATTCACCTTCCAGATATTAATGACCTAATGCATTCTTCTAGAAACAATTTTTTCCCGCAGATCTTACTGTCTTGGGCCCTTGCCAATGAGCAGTTTTATAACATCTATAAGAAAACTAAAATCACATGGTGGAAAACTTCATTTCCAAATCCCTCAGCTGCAGATTGGCTCCCTCCTGGGATTTACGGCCTGAAGTTCCAGTGTCTGCACAAATGATATCACTGCTAGGTCCCCTCTTGGCACAAAGGGCTAGTAATATTTTGAAAAGGATAGTAGGGGTTTTATAAACTGCAGTAGACAACAAAATGTTTACCCTCTTTCCTAGCCTAATAAGAAAGAGGGAAGGCTGACAAGTATGTGAAACCCAGCTATCTTTGAGAGCTTGTTTAGACGTTCTAGCAGGGAAGCAAAGCTACTTATATATTCTTGACCAAGGAAATGGTCTTCCATCTATCGGACGTGGTCATCCTCTTCAATTGAGCCTGCAACTTCAGGAGCAACACACACGAAGTGGTGACAAAGGCAATATCTACCTAGCCAGCCAGATTAGCCTGGTGATCAATGGGGAATCAGATGTCACAGCCAAATTCCCCTCACATCCCCCAGCTATGCTGAAAGTGAAGAAGGCAAGGAAAAGGGGAAAGTGTGGGATCAACTCTGTTCAGGAATTCTCTATGCATCTTAGGCAAATCTTCATAATTCTTTCAAGAAGATATATTTGTTCTTAAAATGAGAAACTTAGGC